GCCATTATTAATAAGTCAAATTTAAAAAAAAAGCAAAATGCATTGAGTAGTTTTGAAGTATATGTTCTTGAAAGTCAGTGGACCGGCGGCGGCAGGGTTACACTCCCGTTGTCAAATATTTGCACACACGCGCGCGCACGCACGCACACACCGCATTCACACACACACGGGCATGCGCGCACCCACGCACACACATACCAATTTACACACACACATACACGCACATGCACACGCACACACACGCATACATACATACACACACACGCACACGCACACACACGCATACATACATACACACACACACACACACACACACGCACACGCACACACTCACACGCACACACGCACACACGCACACACATACACACACATACAACTGCAGCCGTATCTCGTTGGAATTTGTCTTAATTTCGCTCTCACAACTGTGCGCGGCAGTGATGGCTGTTTATACACCGCAGCCGCAATGTCTTTGTGTGTACGTGTATTCCGGCGTGTTGGCGCGGCGTGCCGGCTCCGGTGCTAGTTGCAGTGCCGTGCGTTCTTGCCGTGCGTTTAGTAGTTGGCTTGCTATGCTATGGTGAGAGGGTCCACCTAGATTAAATAACCTATTAGCTTTTGAATATTAATATAGTTACTTTAATTCTATCACTATTAAGTATATGACCCTACACAATTAACTTACAGATATAACGACACCCTGACGTTGAGGTCAGATAAGTAACGAACGTTATTTAGATTTAACACTAAATTTCAAAAATAATGTAATATAAATAATTAATATACGTATTGTTAGTTGATGTATAAAATTAATTATCGGGTGTACTGATCATTAGTATTACAATCATATTCATCATAGCTGCGGTACTTGTTTCTTGTTTTTGTGTGCCTGTATGTGTGCTCTTAAGGATCATAGTCAGAGGATGAGTGTAGTCAGAAACAGACTTGGTATCTTGCCGGTCTAAAACGGTTGACGCTTTCGGATTATCCCCCCCACGTCACGAATATCGTGACCGTACGTCGAGCGGTTAAGATTTGTGCCCAACTGTTGACGGACGGACGCACGAACGCACGGACGGCCGGACGGACAATCATGCGATTCTACAAGCTGTACCTGACTACGTCAGATGAGCTAAACAATAAAATATTCGAGTCAAATTACTGTACTGAAGAATCTGAAACACAATATTACACGTATGGTATTAGGTATGATTGTAGAGTTGTTGACCAGTTAGATGAAATAAACGTAATAGGACGTTGTCATCTCTCCCATAGGAGTAACAACTGTTTTAGGGCTAGCCTTACACATTCACATACCAAAATTTAACAAAATCGAATGAATTTAGATGGCCATTTTCATTTTTGCCAAAAAGTGAGCGTGGCTCAAAAGTAGGTCGACTGGCGTGCTCCAAAATAGGAAGTTCAAATATCTCCCATAGGAGTAACAACTGTATTCAATTTGAAACATGTGGGTCAAACGGCTCTTGAGTTATCGTTGACTGTACGCAGACACTGAAATGCATAGTGAAATTGCCAAAATCTACCCAATTTGCATAATAATAATAAAAAATTCAAAACCTATGTGATATGTTTTGGGGCCAGTCCTCATTTATTCACATACCGGAAATGAGCAAAACCCATTGAACCTGAACTGACTTGTGGCCATTTCCATTTTTGTCAAAAAGAGAGCGTGGCTCGAAAGTAGGTCAACTCATGTGCTCAAAAATAGGACGTTCAAACCTGTCCCATAGGAGTAACAACTATATGCAATTTGAAACATGTGGGTCAAACGGTTCTTGAGTTATCATTGACCGTAGCCAAATGTTGACGGACGGACGGACGACACCCCATGGCAATAGCTCATCTTGACGATGTCAAGGGGAGCTAAAAATGTGTCTGTCATCTAGATCTAAGCTCACCAGTGACAATGTATTGATGGTGGCATCTATTAATTAAGAGACAACCATTTTCGAAGCAATATCAAAGTTGTAATTGGTACGTCATGGGGATATACCATCGCTGCAATGGGTAGCTCTACATATTATAACGTGATACCGTTTGTTATACACAAATCCTACTTATTGATGAAATTACTCTGTTTATGTGTTTTAAAACTACCCCATGGATTGCTATTTAAACATGGGAACACAATAGATATGCAAATCTCATGAATCAGTGTTAGTTTTCTGGACATTTGCTGTATTTGTTATGTGTTGTTATAGTGATTAGCCATTGTTTTCTATATAATATGTATCATGAATCAAGAGAAAGGTTAGAAAAATAAATACCTTGAATAACTCATTCGGTTTTTCTTTATCAGTCAGTATAACCGCAAATACAATTTTTAACACGTTTTACATTTTCCCCCCTTTTCTTTCATCCTGCATACCACATAGCCACGTGCAGGTGCATAGCTTGACAGAGTAGCTAACTAGTGAAGTTCATGTTAGCAAAAATATGCTAGCTCTTCAGCTTTTCTTGACCTTCATAGTATACTTTGATATTGCATTAAAGAATTGTGCAAGAAAATCACCTACGAACTGTATATGGTAATATGGTAATTTTGTTTACGCAATGGAATCATCGTGTAAAACCACCATGATTAAACACTGTGCACACTATGGCACACACCAAACATGAGTATGATTAAAAAAAGTAATTATTCATTATATTAAAAACTCGTTTTTAGAATAATTAAAACAAAATTCATGGTAAATATATAATGCAGGCTCCATATTTCAAACTATAGATTTGTTCTTAGATAATCCACTCAAATATTTCAAACAAAATGTTTTGGGCAAAATCTATAATGAAACAGAAACATTTCTGTACAAGTTTACTATACAAAATGCAAATATTAGAACTACTAATTATTTGCAATTTCAAGCATCCATTTCTCTGCTGCTAAAATCCACAGCTTTACCATTAGATCATATAAATCTCTTAAACAAATATATATACATACGATTTTAGGCATCCCTTAAAGCTATGTAATGAAAGTGTAGTAATTTTTTGTCTGATGTAGAACTTCATGCATTTATAAATGCATTAAAAGGCATGCACATTTCTTTGCAATCAACCTCACCTATGTACTATAGAATGTCCCAATAGCATTATCGGTACCTTAATAGAACTGTGCGACTCACCAAGTTGGAAAGTAACTGTCATCGTTTCTACCAACCTTTCATTCACCACTCGCATCACCACTACCTACTGATGCTTAGTCAGCCTATTATCAGGCAGGATGCAAATGTTACTATGAATACGGAAAGTGAAAAAGTAGTACAAACTCGATGTAAAAATTAAAGCCATTCCACAGCTGCCAACTTATAAACTTGCCCAAACACTTCTTAAGTGGTCATCAATCTGTTTTGCAAAATATACGTGTGATATGTCTGCTGTAACATTTCAGCTCGAGTTGGTTAATCTACTTGCCCTAATGCAATATCACAACCTCAACTTATGATACATAATTGGTTAAATACATTGTTACTGCTGGTTGGAACTACTGTAATGTTATAAAGGTTTACCCAGGGCAGACCCTACTATTCATTGTTGGGCATAAAGCTGACTACCTGCAATCTGTGCCCAAACAATATTATATTGGGTTTCCCTGTACATTAGTAACAGCTGTAGTAGAGATGAATGTGAATGATAGCTGCACTAAAATTGTTTATATTTACAGTTTTAAACTGTTGCATGCAAAATACAGACTAGCTTCTCAATGCCTCCAGCCTTGCTTTCATGTCCTCCACATCATCCTCCCCTTCTGCCTCAGCAGCAGCAGCCTGTGGTTCCAGTACAGGTAACGAATCTGTGACTTTAGCTGGTGCATTACCCAGTGCACCTAAAATCACATTGAAAGATTAATTTTGTTATGACGGAAAAGGAGAGCAGCTCTAAATATTATATTTGTATGGAATTATGCATGCTAGTCTCTATGATTAATCAATGTCACAGAGTCTTCTGTCATCATCGTTAACGGTAACACGGTTAAGTGATATTAATTATTATAATATACGGTGCATTGTACTACCTGCAGTCAGCTCGAACAGAATCTTGTCAACCTCCTCCTGTGCCTCCTCCTCCAGTTCCTCCTGGTCATCGAGTGATTCCATTGTGTCCTCCAACATCTCTTCAATGATGCCAGCCTGCGTAACAGTAACTGGTAGATAACAACTGCTACAACTGGAGGAGTGAACAAGTCACCATATAGCAAATGCATCCATGTGAGCCAGTGGTCGGCACAAACACATCCACCCGCCTGCCAGCTAACCACATTGGCCACGCAGTCTCTTAACAGAGACTATACTTTGCACACGCAACCGCACATGTTTGAACTCTGCTCAAATTACAATAATTAATAAAAAAAATAATTAATAAATAATTACACACCGCAACACAGATTCACTACACAAAACTCCTTCCAAAAGCAATAACAAATGAAAGTGTCAATAACACTATAGCTCACCTTGGGTGTGATAGAAGAGGGAGATGATATTTAAAATTTGGTAAGTGTTTCATTTATGACAGACCGAAATGTGATCAAATGTCCCTATTCCCTGTTTAATACTAATAAACATTTCATTGTTTTGTTTCAGGGTTAGTTTTGATGCAAAAACAAATGTTTCAGATCTGAAAGTCTGAAATCTGGGCGAGAGATGGCGCTACGCCTAAATGATCGCCATTTTGGTTTTCGATTATCGCGCAAATAAAAGCAATCAAATATTCCAGTCAAATTACTGTAACGAAGAATCTAAAACACAATATTACACGTAGGTATGATTAGGTAGGTAG